CTCTCCAAAAAGCGATTCAACAATGCAGAATTTGAATTCGAAGCGAATACTTTATTCAATATCGTAATATCAAAAATGATCATGAATTATATGCAACATTGAAAAAAATAAGTAGATATCTTAGATGCCAAAGATGAATTCTCAAAATTTTCACGACAACGCAAAATAACAAATTTCCAAAAACGTAGCGATTCAACAATGCAGAATTTGAATTTAAAGATTTTTGCAAATATTATTGCAAATATTATTCTCATTCAATTCTTATTCAATATCAATATCATTTTTCATTTTCTTAAAATAATCTTGAATTATAACATTTCCTAGAAATATATCTCAAAATTCGTATAATAATTTGAACCCACTTTCATAATATTTATGAATAGGAAAAATACCTATATCCAACATTGATAAAAATATCTTAGAATTTGGTGGATAGTTTGGATACACTTAATATTTATGACTGAAAATACCTATACCAACTATCCAAATTTTCATAAATACAAAAGATACAACCAATTCTCAATTCTCGATACGACAAATTCCCCAAAGAACGTTACGATTCACGTGAATCCTCTCTTATTTCCAAAAATTGGGGTGGATTGACCGTTACCAATTACCCCTAACAACTACTGATTCTTCGCATAAAGAATTTACAGAAACTTAGCCGTACACGCCTCTCCTCTAAACACCTGTCCCCGACGATAAAGGATTATCCGTGATAATCGTTAATCGGCGATGATAAAGAAACAAGGCGGGCGAATCCTGAATCATTGCGCCCGATTTACCGAACGCCCGATTTATCGTTTCATCCGGAGAGCCGAGCAATAAACTCGAGCGGGGGCGGAGAGGGCTCTAAATCCCTATTTTACTTTACCGACCGGTCGCCCAAGCCTTGCCTCTTGGAACAAGAGAGGTGGAGGGGGGGAGGAGGGGGCTCCAGGCGTGTACTAAATTTAAAAGTAAAACCTCCGCCTTTGTTGCCGAATCCCCGCGCTGAAAAGAGTAGGTTGCCGCTGGGCTCCTTCGAGCCATTCAACAGATTTAAATGGGGAGAGGAGGCCTCCCTCCTCCTTCCCCCTTGCTCCTCTCTTTCGCTTGTTTTAAAATACGCCGCGGGTTCAACGATTCACCCACCTTGCG